AAACCAAGTTCAATGTACTATTAATTCGCTCTACTGATTTTCCTTGTTATCTGGCCTTTAAATCCTCACCTTATGTTTGTGAATACCTATGACAATTAAATGTGTGATTATAAAAATACACTACACGATTCAGACAGTTTACGTCTTCTTATTGTTTTTTCGAATCTTATAAAGGGGACCAATTGTTTTAAAAAGTAGTTATTGTTATGACCACGTCCTGTTCTAAATGTAAAGTATATGCTGATAACATTTAGATGGTGAAGAGGGAGATGTAATCAGAAAATCTGGCCACATTATTCTTGAACGACGTCGCATTCTTTAGACAACTCTGAAAGAGCTGTGTAATGTGACTAGAATCTCCTTAAGTGCGTTTATGCTGTGCACCATTGAAGTGTAGGAGCGTATGTCTGCATTCATTCTTGTTGTGAACTGTTGAAGGTAGTCAAATTTTTTGTAACTGGGTAAGTGTAACTTATGATATTTCTCAGTAGATATCAAAAGCCAGAACGACACATGGCAAACTGGCCTTCTTTTGAAGTTGTCACGACGTTAGCCTGCTTGTAGAAGATCGAGTGTACAAATCGTTTGTGTGGAGAGTCCTGTTTTACTCCTGAGGAAACCTGGCCTCTCCAAGCTGAGCAGAGTAGAGGATTTTATTTCATCATTGTCGTCTCCATAAGATTCCTAGCTCTGAGATGACAGGTTCGTAAAGGAGATAGTTATTCACTCTATCTTTTCATCTGGAAACACTATCTTCTATGGCTTGTGTATGTGTCAGGAACGTCGTCCTTCTCATTGTTCTCTTGCAGTGGAACTCTTTGATATGATATGATGTCAAAGAATGAGGAGGAGTGGTGTCGGATTAGTATCTTGTCTTGCCTTACGAATCCTTAGTTGGTGTCCGAGAGACACTGAAACTCAGTGGCTTGAGATGATAGAAGACAGCTCAGAGACTATGTTGCAGCTTTCTTGTTTCTTTTATTATCAAAAAGAAAAATTTAATCAGTGCATGCTTTTTGAAAACAGGCTTGAGACTGCTTCTCTAATAACTTATTCACAATTTTGATCCCATGCATTTTTTCTTTTCGCCTATGTTTCATTTCTGTGCCTTCTTAAACTTGGCATATTATTTGAATGATGGATTCTTTTATGACTGTGACAAATTTGTATTTTATATTAAATGAATCCAATTCTATGAATAACATGAAGATATAAACCAATACCTGTCCAAGTGAACTTTTTTTCAGGACTTTGTGGTACTGACATCAAGCAGACCATCCAGACTACACTGAAACCAGGGGATCAATAAATACACTCTCGTTGCTAATGTTCCACTGAGGAGTTATTGAACAGAAGACTGATTAATACCGAAACTTGTAGACGTATTTATATTGAATAGGTAGATCAGTAACCTAATATGCTACCAGTTTTATTGCAGAAATGCTGCGGACTGGTCAAATTTCGTACTAAAGTTTGTATACAAACTTGAACCCATCATTTTGCAGTAAAAGGAAAGGACATTCCAGAGTAATTTCTGGTCAAACGTCAATATAAATTGCATTTCAAAGTAAATTTATGTAATGAGGGAAATAAACAAAATGATTACGAAGTAAAGTAGTTACATCCTATGTGGGTTGCTTAGGAATGATCGACTATTTACGATGGCTATGTCAAAGGAAGAGGTTGTACATACTTCCTTTGAACTCAAAATAATGGTTTGAATTTTTAAATCTCTAATGCTTCAGCTATGCAGAGATGTTTTAAACTAACTCTTTTCGAGTGGCTTGACTAAATTTTGCACAGAATTTTGAAGGACTTATCAAACCATCATTATGCAATCAAAAGAAGTATGTACAACATCTTTGTTTGCCATGGCCGTCGTAGATTACCAATCACTCTAGATAACTGATATAAGATGTAATTATTTTCATTTCGTAATCATCCTATTTATTTCCAAATTACATAATTTTCCTTTGTGATCCAATGAAACTTCGCCATTTTGCTAAAACCTGCCTTTAGAGCCGAAATGAAGAAATCTAGTTGGTTATTTCAGACTTTGCTATGGTAGCCTTTAAAGTCACCCACAATTTCTTTAAGGATTGAAAACTGTTTAAAATTTCTTTCTATCTCATTGATTTCTAAAGGTCTGACTTCCATAAAATAACCAACCAAAAAAGTAAGCAGCTGAATAATATAATCGTAAAATATAGAGGCTTTCCTTCGAAACAGAGTACCGAATAAGCTGTTACATTGATTGAAAAAGTCGAATAAGTAGCCATTTACCAACATGGTGTGACATAGGCTTCCATTTTATTCCGAGGTGTGTTAAATTCCTTTACACTTTCAACTTATGAAGTCCTTCTTCTTCTAAATTGAGCGAAAACTGTATAAACTTGCATGATTCCGTGTTTACGCAGACCTTTTGCTTGACTGCTGTCTTTTTGAAACAAGTTTACTTTTCACTAAGAATTTGTTTAAGAACAGTAAGTAGAGACGTTCCCTTTCTTATGTGTTAGATTGCCAGTGTCCTGTAAGATATAGTCTTTACATGTCTGCTACACATTAGAATCACTGTGTTAACATATTTATTGTTAGAAGGAACTTTATTGATTAAATGAACAGTCGGATTTTCAAAACAGGAAAAGAGAAATAACAATAAGCAGTAATTATGGATATAACATGAACTGAAGTCATTCTGATAATGTTACTTGTCTTGTACGATTTTGTCTGCAGGTTAAATGTGCTGACTGTGATACTTATAAAATTGAGGAATCATTTTACAAGATCCTAAATCGTGCTAAAGTGTCCAGGCTACAAAAAATGACCTCACAATAAACCTCTAGAACTAAAGAATTTACAAACAAAATCTGTGGCTCATACCATCTTCAACAAACTCAGTACTGACGTTGAAAACGTCAACATTGTCCGAAAGGATTTTCAAGTACAATGAAAAATGGATAACTGAGGCATGTCATATTATTCTGAATCTCAACGCAAGTTACAAAACAGAGGGCATAGCTATTCAACCAACCTAGAAAGTATATCAGAAATAATTTGTTTTTTTTTACTGACTGTTACTCAAGTACATAAACAAACAAACTGAATCTATCATTCATACTGATTTTGTCATAATCATTCAAAACTATTTAGATATGCATACACATTTATCAGCAATTTACATGACCTTGGGTTCACTGATTCATAGCTAGTGACACTGAAATGCATATTTACATGCATGAAAACTGTAATTTGACTTAATTCACTGACCATTAAAACACGCGATAACTTGTGCAGGTTTCGTTCTCTAAAAGACTAACTTTCATTTGGTCAAAAAATACTAGTAGGTTATTTTTTGAATTAGATGGAATTTGATAAATTTGTTTCTTTTACAGATCATTCAAACAATGATCAACTTAGGTCAAATTACTATTCTGAGGTCTACAGAATCGTACCCTTCAAGTATCACTTCCAGGATTTAACTCTTCAGCCACTACGTTGAAGCTGAGTTATCAGGACGTTTTTCTATGTACTATGCATAGTCTGTTATCTTAGAAGCATGGTTAACTTGACTTCTTACTAGGTTATTTTGGAAGGTTTGAGATTCCCTTATTTAATCAGTGTATACAGAAACTACTTTCTTCTATCAAATTATTTAGGTTAACTATGAGGTTGCTATGAGGTTGATAAAATTACCCATTTTTGCAATCAGAAGTATATCCGTGTCAATAATTATGACTATTACTTAATGAGGATATTTTAAGTTTGTAGGGACATTCGAAATTTTGTAACATTTTGTGGTTCGTATTATAGCTATCACTCTAATCATGCTAACTTAAGTGTAAATTAAACTGGAGATTGATGTACAATATACTAGATGAATCAGCTAACCGACTTGGTACTTTTGACTCAGTATGATCACTTGGCAACCACATTACTGCCCAGCTGGGCGAGACCAAAGCCAAAGGCTGAGTACTAAATAAAATAAAGAAATCAGATACAAAAAGTCATCGAGTAGTAATATGAAGATAAGCAGGCCGAAAATTAACTGCTACAATTAGTTAGTGTACATCTGAAATTTCACCTGCTGTCTTAGCTCTTCGGATACAGTTTGAGAGAAAACCTTCGAGTTGACTTCAGCTGTGGGAATAGTAATAGTGAAGGACTATTACAGTGTAGAATGAATTGTCAGAAGCTGAATACGTCAATCACTAAGCAAAGGATGAAAAACCCATAATGAAACCAAAGGGGTTAGTTTTTAACACGGTAATGGCTGAGGTTTGACGAGGCTAAGCATAATGTATTGAGCGTAAAACCTTGTTTTTAGTGGTTTTTGAATCTTATTTTTGAGACGTATTCATTTCTCTTTTATTTATATATTCCGAAGCTCAACTCAGAAATTCGGTCGCACATGGCATATACTTCCGAAGATTGAAGTAAATTAAATTTTCTGGGGTGGATATTTTGCGAACCCATTTATCTAGCTTGCTTGCAAGATCCAATCAAGTGCTCAGTAGTGTCTGCTAAGAAGAAACATTAAGGGTCAGTTAGTTTCTGTCACAAGATATTTGTTGTTAAGAAATTTAGATTATAAATTCTGACCAGCAGTCTCTTAAACCAGCGTGTCCACTTCAAAATTTATAGGTTAAGGTTACTTTTTCAGCATCTCTCGGTGCTGAGAAGTAATTTAGCCCTTTTGCAAGTACTAACTTGACAGAAATAATAACGGCTTAAATAGTAAGTAAACTAGTCATTGATACGTATACTGAATAATTTCTTCTCTTGTTTCTTTAAAATATAACACAAAGTCAAATAGCATGATTTCTGCCAATATAAAGTATTTGGATTATGGACAACCGCTTATAATTTTTATTTCGTCCTATTCGGTAGTTTTCATTTATTTGTGTGTAGAGTTGATAACATATAAGTATGCCTTACATCCAAGATATTATTCTTTTTATCCGTAATTTATGAAGTAGACTGTTCGTTAATTTTTTATCTAGGATAACACTGGAATAAACGTGTTCGCACCGATTGTCAACCTTCTACGACATCCTCTTTGGGGAAGAAATAAAGAAACTTATGGAGAAGATCCATATTTAGCTGGTGAATTGGCTAAAGCTTACGTTCATGGAGTCGGGGGTTGGGATGTGCCAGACAATAAGGCGAAACAGGTAAGTAGTAGGATGGATCTGGGTGACCATAATGGAGTAAAATCTCATCTGACTTGTGCCTTTTCTGATTCAAAAAACAGTAATACATTATTCTTTACTGGACAATGCTGGAAACGCAACTCATTAATTTGAGTGATTTCAAGATAGTAGAATAGGCCTGGAGTTTTCATGCTCGTGTTCTATCGATGGTAAAGTGTACCAGGTGTCTGCAAAATATTTTGAATAATTCCTAATGTATTCATTAAATGTTGGTTTGATGATCAAAAATTCGACAGTCGATGTCGCTTTTCAGCTACCTTTATGAACATTTAGAACCATTACTATACTTCATCCCGATCGGAATTTCCGTTCCACTGAGTGTTTATCTACAGCTGTGTATTTTTTCTGACTGCTTTTCTTTAAATGGCCTATGGTAATATGTTTAGTTCATATGCGCCGACAACTTAACAGGGCACAATCTATGTTCCTGATCTTATAATAATTGTACTATATTTAATAGTTTGAGCTATTTTGTCTAAATGACATAAAAAGAGCCTTCAGTCATCAAATTAGTGATTCGGGTGGGCTATAAGGAGTAAATGGTTACTTAATTTAAGCCTTACCTAGGATTCTGTACAGAGCTACTGCTGACCGATACTAAAATGGCGTTTTCAACTCCTACTTGTATTGGAACTACTTGCCTTACTCCTGTCTTCACTTCAAAGGCGTCACTGAGCTGATCTTTCCATTGTCAGTCACTTGGCACGTACCATCATATAGCATATAGCTGTTGAATGAAGTTGGTAAAGGTTTGTGGCAGGCACTAAAACCGTAGTGTTGAAGCAGCTGCCTGCCAAATTACTTCTCGTTTGACGCTGTCGTAGGCCTTTTCAAAATCGATGAAGTTGAGGTAGACATCCAGTTGACTGCCACTCTATGCTCTATTCTATGATGAGATGAGGCGTAGCCTTGCGATTTGATCTGCATATGATTTGTACTTCCTGAACACAGCCAGTCAACCAGCCAGCCTGTTCCGATAGTAATTTTGAATCCATGGAATTTTTCAGTCTCTTCAGAATGATGCGGCTTAATATGTTACTTGGTGTGGTCAGGAGCATTGCATCTATATTGCAAAATATTTATAAAGTTGTAGCACCATCTTTGGAAAGGTTTTGAAAATGCATGGCAGCCGTAATCGTGTTTGATATATTGTTGGGTGCTATCGAGTCACTACATATTCTGACCTAAGAAATCAGAAAATAATACACTTGACAGTAGTTTGTTGTGAAGAAAATAAGTCCAGTGAAAATGTTTCAGCTTCATAGACATGATATGTATGGCAAGCGCTGTGATCACCATATTTCAGAAATTGCCATGTTCATCCTTTTTTTTACAGATTTGATAAAGTCTAGTTAATGGTTACTTATCCTAGGCTCCATACATCATACATATATTGGAATCTGGTAGACGTTATTTGTCAAAAAGCGGGATTCATGGGCTCAGAAGCTCAACTTTAGAGTCACCTCCACTTTTTTAGGCTTGAGTAGCCATATAATGACATCAATCGTCACACAATAACTATGCTCACCAGTTAGTAAATGCTCCAAACTAAATTTAGGTCTCACTTTTTGTGTTAAAACTTTAAAAAGCTAAACCTCATATTTTGAACTTGCATCTAGGTTTCATTGATGAAGTAGGTATTCATATTAGTGGATTACAGATAAGATTACTGTATGTGAATTAAATCACACAAAAACACAAACCACCCATAGTAACTGAGAAACACCAATTACATATGATTTTCTTTGCTCAGTTGGCTTCGAAACAATTCGCATTTTTGAAAATTTCCCATGTTTTCAGGTCTTGTGCAAAACAGTTTTGTATTTGCTCAGTTAGATAACAAATGGAATTTTTTTCATGGATTAAATTGCACCGTTTTTATAACATCACCTATAAGCACTTAAAACATATATCCAAGCACACAAGTGGATTAAGTTTTTCCACATCTATCGTACAAGGCCATATTTTCCTGCTTTAACAAAGCCAATATAAAACAGGCTTCTTTCGGAAACCTATCAGATATCGTTAATCCTCAATCGACTATGCGTAGCCTATGAGAATGTAGAAACTGTAAAGTCATATGCAACATTTCCATGATTCTTAAAAAATAAATTAATACCCAAAAGCCGCCCAAACTGAAACAATGAAAAACGTTGTTCACTATTCAGCAAGGAATTTTTTCTTTCAACTTCAGTTATCACTACCATCACCCTTGTAAATTTTATTTATAGCTTACCTGGTACAACAATGAGTTAAAAACTTACTAACCGCGTGACTGAATTCTTTCTAAGCACAGAGCTCTCCTTCAACTTCAGTTATAATCTCTCAACCATTACACTCAATGTATACTGACAATTCTCATTCCTGATATTCTCATGAACATATATAGTTTTTTACAGATAAAATACTAGTATAATTTATTATTACACTGAAGACAGGAAATGTTTATTTTTGTGTTACAAACTTACTTGTATAACGTTTTATTTTAGAAAAGGTGACATATATACATCATAGTTTATCACTGTTTTTCTTTTTATTAGCTGCATCCTCTAAGAACGAATCCTGTAAAACAACATGTGATGATGGTTGGTGCAAACTGTAAACATTATGTAGCACACAATGGGCCCGAGAATAATCCTGTTTCAAGGTTATCATTTGAAGCTGAAGTACCAGAACATGATATGTGGATGACCTATCTACCAGCTTTTCGTGCATGCATGGAAGCTGGAGCTGTAGGAATTATGTGCGCATACAGTGGAGTGAATGGTACACCTGCATGCGTAAACCACTGGCTATTGGATACTGTACTCAGAAAACAGTGGAAATATCCAGGTGTGTGTAAAACAGAGTAGTTATTAACTTACAGAATTAACTTCGATTTTTATCTAACTGACCAACAATGGATTCTTTGACCTTAGTAAATTATACCTGCACGTTTTGCTGCAGTGTTTTTAGATGGTTATTTAAGTCAATGAAAGTAATTCTGATGTCTAGTTATTTGTTAGATTAACAATCTCAGCTAATCTTTTTGAAATTTTGACAAACGAGCCAACCCATTCATTTACTGCTTAAATTATCCTGATCTAGCTAACTAAGTCTGATATTTAGCATAAGATAGCATACAACTAAAAATTTTACTTAGTAGTATATTCTCAGTTGGTCATGTTAATCATGCCTCGTTATAAATTACATATTATTTTTTATTAGTGACATTTTGATGTCAATAATGTACAGATTTTACCCTTTAAAAGTATTATGTAACTTCTAGAAAGTTTAGTAACCTCGTCTAGGTAACTAGTTCAATAGTTACTAGCCGGTCCTAAGCCCGGATAAAGAGGGAACGTTGGGCATACGGCTAGCGACCCTACACCGGAAAACCAATCCAATCGATAAACAAACTTCAAAGCACAAACAAAATATAAAAAGTAATAACAAAATTATTCCTCGCTGGAATCGGGGAGACGAAATAACTCCGGTTGGTGAAAGCCTTGAGGAAGCCAGTCGGCCGATGTGTCTTCTCTTCTCTCGATGAAAGCAAAAATAAATATAGGGACATGGAGTGTCCAAACAATGTATGAACCTAGCGAGGCTGCCCGGATTGCAAAACAGATGAGAAGATATGACATGGAAGTGATAGCAATCTGCGAGAAATCTGTAGATGGAATGGAGGTGGACTCTTCAAACTCTTAACTAGAGAGTCAATAATCTACTCCGATATTGTCACCCAGGTGACAGCCACGAGCACACTGAGGTCCAGAGTGGCTGACATCATGTCTCCAAGAACATCGAAGGCTCTCATGCAGTGGGAACCAACCTCCTCCTGCAGGATCAGGATCATGATAGGAAGATTCAACTCAAAAGGAAGAAGAGTCACATCATTCAGTGCTACGCTTCGTACCTACAAATAATGCAGATCATGAGATTAAGGAGGAATTCCACAGACAACAGCAATCAGTATTGGACAAGACCCCACTCCAGTTGGCGACATCAAAATTCATTCTACTCAGTGACATTAATGCCAAACTGGGAACGTAAAACACAGGAGGAGAACTCATCATGGGTCGAGAAGCACTCGGTGAAATGATGAATGCGAGTGGAGAACTGTTTACAGACTTCTGTGCATTCAACGATTTGGTGATTTGAGGCAGTGTGTACAAACACAAGGACATTCACAAAGCGAGCGACATGGATTTCACCAGACACACTGAAAATCAGATCGACTTCATCTCAATGTGAAGAAAGTGTAGATCAAGCCCACTGGACACAAGATCAGATGAAGAAGGGTAGCAGATGTACGTACACACCACTCACTATCTATCTAGTGCAAGGAACCTACCTTCAAAACCGAGTTGCAAGCCTTCGAAGAAGAAGCCGGTGATAGATCACAGTTCAAGTTCAACACCCAGAACAGAAACTGAACTGAAGAACGAAACTACAAAGGACATCTTCACGTCAGTCATTGAGAAAAATGAGAGACATTGAGCAACATCCCTGAAGGAACCTGTGTAGTAGAACACTGGAAGTCCTTGAAAGCTGAGCGGAAAGAAACCTGCATAACCGTGTTAGGAGGGAAGAAGAAGAAGAAGAAGACAAGGAATGGATTTCGACGGACACATGGAAGCTGATAGAGGAGTGAGAGGAAGATGGTCAGGCAGAAGATGAACCAGTGCAGTGCAGTGTAGGGATGAACAACGAGAAGAGGAACTGAACATAACCTGTAAAACACTACATTGGACAAAGAAGTGAAGAAGTGTGGGTGGAAAGACAAAAGACACTTCTACGACACACTGGCAAGTGAAGCAGAACAGGATGCAGGTAGGATTGACCTGACAACATTAGATCAAATAACCAGGTTACTATCTGTGAAGAGATCAACACAGCAAACATGAAACCAATGAAAGATAGTGAAGAAGACTTAGTTACCACCAAGGAGGAGAAACGAAGGAGATAATGGCCTGAGCACCACTACCACCTGCAACTCATCCAGAAATACCATCAGCAACGGCAGAATCATCAGTGAACACAGTCCCTTCGACAAAAGCATAAGTCTTGAATGCCATGGAGCTGATGAAATTCGGGAAAGCAGCCAAACCAGATGGAACTCCGCCAGAAACACTGAAATCAGATACAGAGACAAAAGCGGACACGTTCACACCACTGTTGAAGAAGGTTTGCAAGAAAGGGAGGAAACGTACCTGCCGATTGGAAGGAGGGCTACCTCGTTAAACTTACAAAGAAGGGAGACTTAAGCCTTTGCAAGAACTGGGGGGAATCATCAGCGCATTCCCGGTCCACCCCAAGCAACATATTAAGCCGCATCATTCTGGAGAGACTGAAAACTTCCATGGATTCAAAATTACTATCGGAACAGGCTGGCTGGTTGACTGGCTGTGTTCAGGAAGTACAAATCATATGCAGATCAAATCGCAAGGCTACGCCTCATCTCATCATAGAATAGAGCATAGAGTGGCAGTCAACTGGATGTCTACCTCAACTTCATCGATTTTGAAAAGGCCTACGACAGCGTCAAACGAGAAGTAATTTGGCAGGCAGCTGCTTCAACACTACGGTTTTAGTGCCTGCCACAAACCTTTACCAACTTCATTCAACAGCTATATGCTATATGATGGTACGTGCCAAGTGACTGACAATGGAAAGATCAGCTCAGTGACGCATTTGAAGTGAAGACAGGAGTAAGACAAGGTTGCCGCCTACTATCACCAATCATCTTCCTGATTGTGGTCGACTCGACTGGATCATGCAGCAAACTGTGAGGAGCGAGGATATTGGCATACGCTGGTTGGACAGATGAAAAGACTCCAGAAGAAGATTTGGATTTCGCCGCCGATGATGATTTATGTCTAATTTCTTGTCGCACAAACTCGAAGATCTACAGGTGAAAACCAACGAGTTGGCAGAGGAGGCAGGGCAGCGAAAGAAGACGGGACTTCAAGTGGATGTAGAGAAGACCGAGGTGATGAAGATACCCAACTGACAACAACGACAACAAGCACCAATGACCATCAATGGGAGCAATCTAAACGAAGTAGTCTCTTTCACCTACCCACCTACCTACCTACTTACCTGCTTACCTGCCTACCTGCATACCTATGTGGCATCCTTCCAACTACAGGCGGTGACACAGAAGAAGATGTGAAATCCAGGATTGCAAACAAGACAGGTCTTGGTTAATCTGAAACCAGTGTGGAGATCTACTGCACTTAACACAAAGAGCAAGATCAGGATTTCCAACACTACTTTCAGTAAAGTCGGTGCTTCTATATGGTTCAGAAACTTGGCGCGTTAGGAAAAGCATTTCCAACGAACTACAGATATTTATCTGCAGCTGCCGCCTATGCTCTCTTGTTACTGAATGAAAATGGCCAGAACGAACCAGCTGAAGTTTTTCTATTTTACTGCTTACCTGTGTTTTATTTTACCTTTTTAGCGGTATGAGCACTGTGATAGAATATGTTATATCAGTAGGTTACGTCCCCAACACCTTAGTTCGGATCCCAAGTTTACACAAGCTATTGGACCTTGAAATGTCTAATGTTTGCTATTCTGTCCTAAGTATAAGTTACGAATGTTGAGTTTGTCTTCCGTTTCAACTTGCGTTTTAAACCAACTAAACTTTGCATCATATTCAGGCATATTCTTTATTTCAATAGGTTTTGTCATAAGTGATGAAGGAGCATTACAATTTTTAGTATCAAAACACCATATCTACTCAAATCTACAAGAAGCTGCTGTCGCTGCCATTAAAGCTGGTGTGAATATAGAAAATGCCATTCCTAATGCTATTAATGCATACTCAGAACTTTTGAATTTAACAAAATCTGGAAACATTACTGAAGGTGAATTACGAAGTTTAGTACGTCCTCTGTTTCTCGCCAGAATTCTTCAAGGCGAAATGAACACTCCAGAAATGGATCCATATGCTAATTTATTACCTAATGCGGTATGTCTTAAACTGCTGTTAAGGACTTTTTGATTCTTCATCTTTAATGAAAATAGCTGAAAAGCTCTGTAATAACTGAATGGCTAAGCCTTTTCTACTTAACGGCATGGGGTCTGGAAAGTAGCTGACAATAATAATATCAGTAATAAAGTTCTTTATCAAGAAAAATTATTATTTCACACAACTTAATGTACGATAATCTACCTAGTTTTAAAAATGAACTATCTAAAATGAATGTTTGGAAGACAGTGAATGAATACAAGCTTCGTGATCTAAGTGGAATGAATAAAGTAGCCTAACTGTCTTCATCAGCCACTGCAGCTAAGACACATACACGCTGTAATAATTCAGATGAGAACCGAAATTCAAGAACTCAGAGGAGAAGTCTTCAACAAAGAAACATACGCATCCTGAAGTATGCCCTAACAATGATACGAAAATACCACACGAAAGAAGATGACTAATATTTGGCATGCTTTGACTGACAAGACATCACCTTATCATTTACAATTAATTCTCTTGCTTAGCCGTCTGCCATGAGAAATGCCAAGTTTGATTTTACTCTTATGGTGTTAAATTTATTTGATAGTTTTGGTATGTTTACCTTGCTTACTAATTTTATGCGACAAACGAGAAAAACATAAAAGAATGCCAATATAAAATTTGTTGAGTTTAGTAATCACCCAAAATTGCGCTGGACTTCTACAATCAGCGTGTTAGTTGATTGGCTTAACCGAAAGAAATAGGGTATGATTTTAGTCTTTCTCCTGTTGATTAAGAGTAGAGCAACTGAAATTTCATATCACGACTTGAATAATGGAGTGCATTCTGAAATAGTCATATGGTCCAATGTAAGGAAATGAGGTACTTACTGGATAAGAAGTATAGCATAATAATCCTTTGGTTCTGATCAGATGCCCTTGTGATAAAAGTGTATGTATCAACGCTGTTCTGAAGTGTTCAAGCCAAAAGTAAATTGATAGAGATATTAGGGTTTTTCGAAGTCCAGCAGTGATAACCAGTGAGTTATACTTTGAGGATGTACATCAGTTCCATCTGTATTATTGCTATTTTAATATGCAGTTTTGTGCGTACCAAAACATCTATAAAAGAAGAAAATCTTATCCTAGACCTGTAGTATTTCATTACACTAGATGAGAGACAAACAAATAAGTGAATGTTTTAATTTTTGGTTGGTATCAAGATATGATTGACTCAGTACCTTGAGAAGGAACTACTCATCCATTTACCGTATGATCTTAATTACTTGTCAGTGCTTCATAACTTTGAAACACTGTGCTATCCAGAGGAATTTTTCATTTCTATCTGGTTCATTTATCAAGTTATTATACTTTTTGATCCCAAAAGAATGAATATAAAACTATAATATTTGTTGATGGTGGTAATACAGTCAGTTACATGTATTTCTTCCACACTAAATCAAATAAACAATGTATTGTGGAATTATACTCTACCGAAGTGCTCACTTTTTGCTCCTACTTTTATTTCGCCTTACCTGAGTGGCGGATACAGTAAATCAGTAGTTCCAGTAAGATGAGAAGTAAGTATCTACTCCCCATGGAAGTCATAAACTTGAACTACTAAGTCACAATTATTGACAAGTGTTACCTGTATCAGTTGTCATGCTGTCTCAGTATAAAAATAATGCACAGATTTTATTTGCTGATTAACAAAACAGTCTTTGTTCATCCCTAGTAAAGAGTCAGTGTGTCACTTATCTATTTGGCCACTTTTAATAATTTTCTTTCATAAATTATCGTCATATGTAGTAAGTCCACAGTTTTATTACACGGACACAAACAACAGTTCTTGTATTAAACTTTGTTCACACCGAAGACTGTACTAAAGATAACAAGTGATTTGTTCAAATAAATTTTGAAGTTACAAGATTAAATTGTATGGATACAGCCTGGATTTATCCTAGTTAGATAGAGTACAAAGTAAGAACATATGATTCACGCAAAACATCCTGGTTATCACAAGGATCAAGATCATTTAAGTAATAAGCAGCCGTTTTATCCTATTCCGGAAATGTCAGTGTATGCGGAATATTAATTGGGTTTAAAACACCAACAACAAGAAGATAGTTAAGTACAGTGTGTTTTAGTACGGAGGTTCTGCTAGGATTTTATTGGTGTATACTGCTAAGAAGTTTTGGAGAAGCAAAACGACGCTCAGTTACATCATATTTTCTCATCACATCTTCTTCTTACGCTGAACTGTGATGTAAATCAGCCTTGAAAATATACAGAAAATTGCCAGTTTCATGATACCCTCATAACACGCATGATCCTGTATATTCTCTACAATTAATAGCGACCATGATCATGAAATTCTATCACGTTTTCCTGACTTTTTGATTGATCTTGAATAATCATGACCGCCTCCTTTAAAATGCTAATCCTAAAAGAGATCTTTCTGGTTTTCACAGGTGGTTAAGAACTCGAGGCATAGGCACTTAGCAGTGGTCACTGCGGCCAGGACAATGGTACTACTGAAAAACTCTGAGAGATTTTTACCACTTATGTCTTCTGTAAATCCTGAGATCCGTCCTTTGAGACATATAGCCTTGATTGGACCATTTTCAACGAGTGTCGATGAGTTAATTGGCAGCTATGCAACACGCCCTGATCCAGTTGATATAATTCCACTGGATAAAGGTTAGCGAATATGATGTACTAGCAGGGAACTATTTTTTCTCACACCTAATAATTCAGTTGTTATTAGATGTATCTTTAAGAGGAAATGGAGTGTTTTTATGCGTACATCATTCTTTTTACATATAACTCAGTATCAACATAAGTGCTATGCGTACTGTAAACTTTGCAAGCTTATAAAATGAAGATTAAATGTGAAATACAAATTCAACTATCAGCAACAAACAGCTAATGAGAAATAATGTCCCGACTAAAATTTAACTAAGGCACGAGATTACTGATGGGCTCTCCTGTATTTTAAGGTGCACCCTTGATTTTAGTACAAGATTTTGAGCATATAGGTAGCTATTCTCAACCCACTTGTACTTATTATTTATCGGGAAAAACTGGGAGGTTTCACTATGTCTATTAATATAACTAATTTCTAGTTAATTTATGATCGAATTATTCTTCTGAAACAGTGGAAGCTACTTCAAAATCCAATATACAGCTTCTAATTCTATTTTTCCGGATCCTGAAATAAAAAGATCATTTCCAGAACAATTTGCTCTATAATTTGTTTTATGAAAGACCTGCTATTAAGGACAACCGAACACTTACAAGGAAGCAGCTTTTCTTTGTGGACGTTTTATCTCTCCATTTAATTTGACTTCGTGGACGCGAAACAGTGTAGAGATGGGGGTAGTAACAGGGGTTACAATGGTATGAGTAGCAGTTTCCTCGGAATGAATGTTCCCTAAATGTTTCCTTTTTTGATTTTACTTTTTTCGCTTACTTTTACCAGTGAAATCATTTATTCTGTTCTTATTGCATCTTGACAGGACTTGAAAGTATAAGCGAAAAAATCACCTCCTCAAATATTTGCATTGATGGTGCAAAGTGTTCCATGTACGATGATATAGCGCTTCAAGAAATACTTCTACAGCCGGACATTGACCTTGTCATCATAACCGTTGGTACTGGAAGAAATGTTGAAAATGAAGGGCATGACAGACACGATTTAAATTTACCTGGAAAACAGAATATGTTTCTGTTAAATGCCTTAGATTTATCGGCAGGTCGGGGAATAATAAGACGTTTGCCCGTACCAGTAATTGTGTTGGTTTTTTCGTCTGGACCGATTGATATTGAACCTGCTGTGGAAGATCAAAATGTACGTTAACTTGTAATTTCATGCAAGCTGATTTTTCGAGATTTCATGGAAAATGACAAAGACCAAGGAGTTTGAAATTAAATGGACTAATTGATAGTTGTTTCATCCTTAATCACAACTTAATGGAAAGCCTGGAACACCTCATAAATCAAGCAATGAATCTTATGAAATCATAAGAAACATTACTTAAAAAAATGAACTATGACTTTGTCATCATGATTAATTGGTGAAAAAACATAACACTGTTGTCATTCTGGAAGCCATAACCATTGGAATGACAGGTAGCACTGAAACTTAACAATATCATGTTGCGTAGTAACTGAACATGAAAAGCCTTGTGTACTATATTCTAATACGACTATTAAGCTGTAATTCATATACGATGAAGCTTGAACTTATTGCGTTCGACTTCAGAATGTCACGTTGCTTACTTAGTGTACAGCATATCTTCACTTAGGATAAGTCCGTAATCAAAACCTTCTTTGAATGTATTTTAATGTTCCGTGTTTTCACAATTCACTTCAGAAGTTTATCCATTTCGTGGCAATTGTGTCTACAACAGTAGCTTAACTCAGTGACTCAATATTACATTTTCAGTAAACTGAAAAAATTCTGTCTCCTGGATTAAATGAACTTTTAGTTCACGATTAATGTATTGGTTTGGAAGCCGTCGGTCGTATACACTGTCGCTTTAATCCTAAAACTCATTTATCTATAAATAATATGAAGTGTTAACTGTATTGTTGACATTTTTATCATTGCCGTATCATCAGTGTCAGATAATGAAGAAATTTTGTATGTCTACAAAAACAACAAAGTAACCTTTTCAGCCCATTCAACGTGTCTCTTTCTCTAAACTAAAATGAAAAGTGATTCATCAGTAAAATGTTTTTCTTGGGTCAAACAGGATAATATTTAGTTATTCTTGATGTTTAGTGAATTTCTTTCTTCAAGTTATTCAACTTCCTTCACAAGTGTTTTCAATTGAGATCTTTTACAGTGTGAAATAATGGTTAAGAGCTGCAAGGTAACATAAAAATCAAGATGAGAAACCATTTTTGTACCTTCCAGTCATCTTAACTATATGGAAATGGCACAGGAAGCAGAAATTTCAACCTATTGTTTAGTTTCTCCAGTACTTATCTTCCCTATGTCACACTATATTAGAAAATGATCTACCAGAGTTTTGATACGGAAATAAGTATGAGTACTTATATCCACCAGCTGAATTTATCTCCCTTGTAGTATGTTGAGATTCCTACGGATATTTAAAGTCAAAGTCTAACCTGAGAGCAGAAACATTATCAACCAGGCATAATGCGTTCATATGCCAACGATCGTCACTCAGTTCAGTATACATAATTTAACAGCAGGAATTTAAGTACCAGTTCCACTTTACAAGGAGTGGCTGTCAGTATTCAGTAGGTAGTTGAGCAACACTCTGGCATCTGAAGCTATTAGTAGTGGGGATTGTTGTAATGGTAGTGGATACATCCAGCTGATAAGTTGCGAGTAGGGAGAAATGAGCACTCCAGATTCTAGTGCTGTGTTTTATCTACGAATATAAATACGTGTACTTAGTTTTCTCCCGATATGTTGCTTCAAATTTGATGTAATGTTGTTAGAGATGATAAGTACAGAATAAGATTTATGAGGTAACTGTATCGTCGTCTACATTCATGGGGATATGGCATCACTAGCGGTAAGACTACTGAGGTGCAATAGATAACATCTAGCCACCCTATCACACTTCCTGTTTCACAAATATATCTTTATTGTGATCCAAAGTTTGTATTAACATTTCCATACACTTGTTTTCTTTCTACTCTATCAAGGTTAAATCTATATTCTGGTGCGGTTACATGAATTCTGTACTTGGTGAAGTAGTCGCTCGTGTATTAGTTGGAAATTCTGGCAGACCATTTGGTCCATATGCACCACTACTACAACTTTATCCTGAATCTTCTGAAATTGGAATATGGGGTACAGATATGGATGAAGGTCACTGGTGGATACCGGCAGCTAGACTTCCGTTTACGTGGTATGCATCCATTGATAAGTTAGCCAATATAACTGTATACAAAATGACGAATCAAACCTACCGTTATCTACCAAAATCTTGTACGAAAAATCAAAACGTGTGTCCAATACCAATTTTATATCCATTCGGTTATGGGTTAACATATAACATGGTATCTCCTTCAGTTAGCGGATTTGATTATTCGAATTTAGAATTACCATTGGTCTCAGTCAAGCCGAATCAACCTGTTGTTGTCTATGCAACTATAAAAAACAGTGGACATATTGCATGTGAGGAGGTGGTTCAGGTGGGTTTTTTCATCATCTAAAAATGTGTTTCAGAAAGATAGGATTTTAATCAAAATACTAAAGAAAGCATAAGAGATGTTGGATTTGAAATCAGTCAGTGGCTAACATCTACTTTTTTCAATGAAGACACTTTGGGTTATGGACGCCTGATTTGTTTGAGGACGCATATCCTCATCCAGTGAAAGACATACTAAACCAAATAGTTCACGATATATATAGATGTTTGCAAGCCATTAGAAATTAACGCCACCAATACTTGACCTAGTTGTTTATTTTTACAGTGCATTTGAATAAGTAAACACGTGTAGATCATACGTTGCGAAGCTGATAGTTAGACACTTTTTATTTGTAGAAAAGACAGGCAAACACTTGGAAGTAGACATGAGAAATGATATGGTTCAATAAACTGCGTTTACACTTAAAGTTTCGCTACTATAGTAGATAAACGATTATGGATTGTCGCTTCCGTTATGATTTCTCATAGTTGCGAACACTAATTTAAAGAAGGATGACATTATTCACTTACTGATTTGAACTCTGTAATTCGGTAGTCTCAGTTAAACAAAGTGCACACTTTTAGTAGTGATTTTACTTTAAAGTAGAAATTTCTCTGTTAACATATTATTAGGATACGTGGAGTTATGCAGGTACTGAATGCAACAGAGTGAGTTTCACCACAACATTTAATTAACGCAAAATAAGCTGGGTGACTTCACGAACTTTTATTGAGATAAAAGTTGTGTTATTCATTTCGGTGCACAAACTTATTAGATTGTGTATAATAAATCCAACAAAAAAAGACTATAGATAAGTTTGTGTAGGATTTCTGTACTCTGATGTTTAAGTGTTGTTGGTCACCTTTCGTAATATTATCCGCGAAAAGTTTTCTGTCGCATATTCTGAAAGTTGCTGCATACCAAATATTTCCAGAGCAGAAGGCAATTTAGCAGCAAGTAATTGAGTTTACTAAATGCCTCTCTTGAATCCACTTGATAACTTTTATCAACGATGAGAATGAAAGTAAGTTAAAGGTGAGCATACAGGAATTGGTCACTGATCACAGCTTTCTTACAGAGCTGTAATGATCACAAGAATTGCAACTAGTAAACAGCATATCATGACTTTTCCCAGTCTTTAAGAAATTAGAGTAATATGATACTCAAATTCAAGCAAAATTTTTGAATCCGCCACTTGGTGGATGAAGTTTCCGTGAGGAATCATGATTATTTATTCCTAAGTCAAGCCTCCTAGGACTAGACTGTATAACAAGGGTTACTTTTCAGTTTCTACTAGGTATGATTCATCCGCTTCTGTACAAAGTATCTTGACGAATGGCAGGTCCACTGGTAACATCACTGGCTACAGCTTCAATTGACATGAACTACTAACTCACAAAAAGGATCATTTCTTTTGAGGTTGGGAGTTAGAATAGCTAAGTTTTACAGGCATAAAAAGCAAATTGTTGAAGCGTACATAAACCCATTGCAGCGTTTCTTGATTTCCAATTCTAAGTATAGCATAATAAGTGCTAAGCTGCTAATCTCAGTAATCACTTTAGATTTACATACATAGTAAATTTAAAATCTTTGTTCTGAAGACATCTAAATGGTTTAACAGTATAAGTTTTACCTTCAACAACAGATACAAGGCAAGTTAAACAAGTTGTTGTATTGTTTGCATTCGTGCGCCTATAACGTGTTCACCTAATTATCATTATTCAGCTATATATTCAGTGGCTAAAATGTGGGCAGCCTGATATAGATGATGAAAATCAAGAGAAATGCATTGTGCCTAATATTCAGTTGGTTGGCTTTAAACGCGTTCGATTGGATGTTGGTGAAAAACTACGTCTCCAATTCCATTTATCCCAGACCAACTAAAAGTGTGGTCAAATAAGAATCAATCAATGGTCCCTGGCCAGGGTAGTCTCCGTGTTACAGTCGCAGGTCAACAACCAGATCAACCAGTCACAGTTGGTTCAAACTACTTAATCGGCATAATTGAGATTAGTCATGTAACGACTACACATAACTGAAAAAAAATATATCCTGTGAAAAGGAAAGCTTTTGCTGAATTATCATTGATCTCTCCACACAGACTGCACAACTGTTCTCATAGCAAATGCAATAAAGATCCATATCTACCAGTAAATACAAACTTTTCTTTTTTTAAAATATCCCACGAACATTATCAGCCAATCGAATACTGAACTATTTGAGAGGAAGTTTGACACTTTTTCAAGCATTCAGATATACTGGATCGAAATGATCAAGGTTCGAGTATCAGTGGGAATAACACCACTCACTGGGGTTCAGGTACATCCAGCTGACGAGTCCAAAATAAGACGAAACGCGCATCCTGAACTCCACTGCCAGTCACAACCAAGCAATTCATCACAGTTTTGAGATACTTCACACTTAACTTTGGAGACTTGTGCACGTCAAAGGTTGATAGGTATGAATACGGTAATATTTTCGTTGATAAGGTAAAAAAACTTTAGGCTTTTGCAGTTGTTTAGTTCCTAATATACTTAGAACTTTCTTTACTCAGAGACTTTATTCATTTGATTCAATACTTGTCTGTTCGTATATTTAAAGCTGAAAGTAGTTGGTACTATGTCTGTTTAAAATGAATTCGTAATAGTACTGAAAGTGGCGTAAAAAAAGCTAGTATGCAGCAGCTAACTCTGTAGTACCACGATATTCAAAAGGATAAAAAACGCTATCTGAACCAATCCCGATTACACTTTCTGGTGTTATCAATAACAATGGCATAACGTTTTCATCCAACTTTCACTGCCAATTTTAGCTAGACAGCTGTAGGAAATTAAGGACTTCTTAACAATTATTTTGTTTTCGTTCAGAGCATTCTCACACGATACAATTGTAGAAATTCGATTTTATAATTAAAACTTTTGCATTCACCCAGTGAGTCAGAATTCAGTAGTTCATATTATTCAACTTCAGTTAAAATTAAGATAACTCAGTGCACCATGTTGATATTAGTGTAAAGGTTCAGTACTGTGGTAGAATGTAATTTCATATTAAACTTATTTATTTGATGTGGCTAATGACGTCTCGACCATGAATTATTGCTGACAACCATACCAAAAAAAATAATCACATGACTTTCGACATATGATTTTAGTTCCTTTGTTACGCGTATTCTCTGTTTTTATTGGTAGTTAGATTCTCCACATCTCTGGTAAAAGTGTTACATCACTCCTATTACAGGCAAAGAAACCTGGAGGCCCATGATGGGGTCACAGGGGTGCACTGCAAAGGAGTCGCATACTAGAAAGAAACAGCTGTCCGAAGTTCCCAGGTTTCCAATGTTTCTCTAACATATCAATCTCTGATGAATACCAACTTGAAATTAATGGATCCCTACAAACCCCCGAACTGAAAAGGTTTTGCAAATAAGTACTTTTCATAAATTAATAGATGATGAAAGTGACTTTCTCCAAAGTTTAGCAGTTCGAAAAATAGCCTAAGTAATCAGAAGTCCGTGTGCTGCACTATAAAATCAGTTGTATTATCTACATCTTCACTTATTTGCTTCGCTGGTTTATGATTGTTCATGTTTGTGCATGCTTCAGAGAATAATACAGGCATATTGATAGTTCTACATAGTCACATACACGAAAAGATGCTAATTGGATGTGGCAATCAATAGAAGGTCTTAGATTTAGATTTAAGTTTCCTGCTTGTTGGGACTTGTCAGCAAGGCGTTTCCACAATTTCAAGGAAACTGATATCACCTCTGATATTGGAACTCGCGTCACCCAGTACTGTAGTCAAAGACGTTACCACTGAGCTGTTTATGTCGCGCTTGACCTCCTGTATGACTGAACTAGACACATTGATAATAAGTCTCCTAGCTTGGTGACCACATATAATAGATAAAACTCGATCAGTAATCAGGACTGAACAACATGAAATTGGTTTCTCTCCAGTTTTCTTTCGATGTGTGTGGTCCAGTTCTACAGAAGATCAGTTGCTCCCTGAATAGCTCAGTCGTAACGTCGCTGACTGCAACACTAGGTGACGTGGATTTGAATCTTAAGGTTGCGGATATGCTTTGCTGATGAGCGCCAACGAGCACGAAACCGAAGTCCAGGGCTTCCTGCCATTTGCCTCCAATCAACTAACTTCTGTCAAAAAGTAAGGCAGTGGTGAACTTTCTAGCTCGGTGTCAGCATTCCAAAATGATCGATGGGATTCAATCAGCACTCACGACTAAAAGACTTCAAATCGCTTGTTATCCAATGATCAGTCAGTGTACAACTATGTATCTTACGCGGTTTTGATGGAACTATCACTGCCCCCAAATCTTTTGTCAGTATATATGGTAATGATGGACAGTAGCTAGCAGTGGATTCCAGGACCCACATTTCGTCCTATTTGGGACTCTTCAGCTGGACGTACCTGCCTGCCAGTGAGTGACGTTGTTCCCACCGGGCTTCGAACTAGGGACCAGCTGCTTCAAACTTTGGAGCGCTATTCACTAGACCACCGAGCCACGATAGCCACTTCCTGTGAGACGGGTATA